GGGCGAGGGGGCCACTGGCTCCAGAGCCTGGCGCTGAGCCTCTCCCCCTGCCAGCCTCTCCCTCCCTGCAGCCCCCTGCCCCATGCTGTGGCCCCGTGCTGGGTCCTCGCCCTGTAGGCGAGGGCCCCGCAGCCCTGAGCAGGGCAAGTGTTTTGGGAGAAGCCAGCGTGCAGCTGGGGGGGCCACCCCGCTCAGCTTGGGGAGCCCGTGGTGCGGAGCTGGGCACTATGAGCTGGCTGGCTTGGTGAAGTCATCCACCCCTGTGATGGTGGCCTTGCAGAAGAAGCAGTCCTTGTTGTTCATCAGGTGCTGGTTGATGCAGGCTCTGGGACAGAGGAGGAAAGAGCGTGAGCCCCCCCCGGCATTGCATGGGAGGGTCCAGGGGCTGGCAGTTGCCTTGGTGGGGGTCGCGCATGCGAGCTACTCACTTGCATGACTTGTGGGAGCAGGGTCTGAAGATGGCCGAAATGGGGTGTGCATAGCAGATGGGGCACAGGTCTTCCTCGCTGGTGGGCTGTTGGGGGGGACACCAGGCAGTTAGCAGTGGCAGGGAAAACCCTGGGTCCCAAGGGCAGCTGTGCTGGGAGCCAGCGCTGCTGCAGAGCACAAGGACTGGGCTGGAGGGACTCACCAGTGTGGTTGCAGCCGCCTGCTTGGACTCCTCGCTCAGGTGGCTCAGCATCTTGTCCACCTTCGCCAGCTCCTCAGCACTGATGTACTCTGTGTCTGTGGGGACAACCCACATGTAGGTGGGATGAAAGTGACCCTCAGGCTGCCCTGAGGCTGCTGGGCGATGCGGGGGGGGGGCTGCAACTGCCCCTGGGGACCAGCCACGACAGGGAGCCTGGTGCTGGGGACAGGGATCCCCATGCTGGGGGCAGCAAGTTGGACATTTGGCACTGCAAAAGGACAAAGCTGCTGGCAAAAGCATGCACTGGACACAGCTCCATCCCAAATGCCACTGCTGGGGGACTGCAGTAGGCCCATGGACCCTTGCCCCAGGGCTAAGGGGGGCTGGGACATGTTGCAGGGGGACAGAGACACCAGTGGCCTCATCCTCCATATCTCAGCTGTGGCCAGGTGGCGAGCACAGCCCCGCTCCCAGCGCAGTGCCACTTACAAGTGTGCAGGGAGAAATGGCGCTTGTCTGTGGCCGGGGTGGCAGCCGCCAGGGCCGAGGGCTCAGCGTGGCCCAGCAGGTACTGGATGGAGCGCAGCTGGAAGCAGGGGTCCGCCAACAGCACTGCCGTCGCACGCTCGGCCCTGC